TCAACTAGCCAAATAAATTGGCTTAATTTTGACGCTTAGCTTGGCTGGCCGACTGTTTTTTTTTCTAAGGTGTTAACAGTCGTGTTTGCATGTTGCTTTATTGCCAAACAACAGAAACATTTTTTCGACTATTTTAGAACTTGAATGGGTGGCCAGTTGCCCAGAAAATCAAAAGCAAAAGAAAAAACGCTTGGTTAATCTATTATAGTAAACCGTACATAATAATTAGTTTATCCGAGCAAAAACCTTCGACCTTCAACTTCATCAATTAGTTGGTAAATATGAGTTGACCACTGGGCAGTTTTAATTGCAGTTAATTTATATAAATGTTTGCAACTTTACAGCATGATTAACCATACAATTCCAAACCTATTTTGATAATTACGTGGTAGCGTTTATTCCAGGGAAATATAGCTGTGGGGTCAGAGAAAGAGGTCAGACACGTTTTGATTTGACCTTAATTGGGTGAGGCAAACAAATATTTGAGTAAAAGTCGCTATAAATTATCACCTGCTAACCGCACGATCAGCCTTGACTATCGTGGTTGACAAATGAGTAACATCGACAAATTAGTGACTTTCGGAGATTAATTACCACCATTTAAGAGCAAGAGTATACGAGCAACTAATAGGAGTATATCAATATACGAGTCACAACCTGAAACACACAAAACTATTGGACTAAACAAGATCGGTATCTCATTTGTTCTATTTTGGCTGGGTTTTTGTTTTCTGACAGTTTGACGTCAAAAACGAATTATTGGTAACTCTGCAGCTAAATTGGATTTCGTAGAGCAACAATGTTGTTCTAAATTACTATTAAGCAGTTGGCCTGTCCAATTCGTCATGTGCAATGCAACGGAAAATGTAATTGAACATTTCCACACCACCTTGACTTGATTTTCCTGCTCAGCTTAAACTTAAAATTCGTGTTGATATTGTGATGATTCAAGTATCAAGTTTGCTTATATTAGTTTCGATGTCATTTTGGTTTTTTTTCCAGATTTTAAATATAGTCTTTTTCGATTTAAATATTAAACATAGTCAGTGAGCTGATGAGTAAATTGGCGATTCATTATTGGTATTTCCTCTATAGATATTTTATATTTTTGGTTTGCTTATTTTTTCCTCGAACATCAAAACACGCCTTGATTGGATTTTAAAATTGTAAAAAACAATTTATATTTAAATTTGGTGAATATTGTTTTATCAATTTTATCTCCATGCTTCAAGAACAAAATAAATTTAAAAATCATACTTTTATGGAAACGTTTTATTTAACAAAATTTGACTATAACTTTTTAAATAATGTAATTTAATTAAACTTTAAACATTATTTACCTAGGAAGAGTACAATCACTAAAGTCATAAATGAAAGGAAATTCCACATTTGATTGAGCCTGCTTAAATTTCCTGTGACTACGGTCATTACATCAATGGAATACCAACTTTCCACAAGTTAACCAATGAACCTGTTCCATCCCCAAGTCGCATCCCCATTGATGTGCTTATTGTATTTAATTTATTTGCAATAAAGCAAACGATTTCAGTTATGCGGCTACTTTTGTGCAATCATACGCAACAAGTGCACTTTGCTATTAAGACGGGTTCAGTTGATTTTTAACCATATTTGTCAACACGCCGATTTTGCTTGGCTCTAATCCAAGTAATTTCATCTATGCAGGTGCTGGGATTTTTGAGTCTAGTGTTTTTAATTAAACACGTGCCACTTGGCCCACAAATATTCGTTGCAGTGTCTGTTGAAACTTTCACTCTTGTGGGCCAACTAGCTCACATATCACTTGCTTGGTAATTAGACCACTAATTAAAGCCCAAACGCCAACACTTCTTGGCCCAAAACCTGGGTGGTACCGAATTTCACTAAACCGAACCGAAACTTTGACGACAAACAACAATGCCCAATTATGTCATGCTGTCAACTGTCATCGGGTGAATAAAAAATGGATATAGGCATCTCAAGATACCTAACCCGGTTGATAAAAATACCCTTTTTAAAGGGAGCTTTGATTTTAGTTTACACTTTAGACTTTATTAAGTAGCTTTACCTTTTTTGTCGCAGCTGAAAAGATCTGCCTTGTATGCCTAAGGAAAAAAATTGTATAAAGACTTAAAGAAAACAACCGTGTTTTAAGATCCTCTTTTACGTAGTACATAATCGCATACAAATAACGATGTAATGTTTTTTTTTAATGAAAGGTTATCCTTTTATTTCCAAGAGTTTTAGTTACTTCGACTAGTCGAAGTAAATTAAGTTTCTCGTTCAAGTTACGCAGAAGCCCGTCATCATTGCACTAAGTATATCAGCAATTTCTCAGTTGGCTCTAGGCTCAGTTACAGTTACAGTTACAACGTCGACAATAACAAAGGCCATAACAATGGAATGCCTCTTACCAAATGCGGCGTTTTGCTGGCATTACACATCATCTACTGTCACCCCACCTTACTCCACTCCACTTGCTCGTTTTAATAATCATGAAAAACATCGTCTCATGTGTTGACATTTTTCATTTAAGACTTTATTTGGCCAAAGGCTTCGTGTAGTTGCCAAAAAAAACTTAAAGCGATACGCTTGCGGGGTAAATAATAATAAACAAAATGCGTATAATAACCGAAAAATATTCACACAGTTTACACCTAAGCAATGGTTTTTTCTTTCTACTCCATGCTGGTTTTATTCAAGGCATTTGCGCATGCAATTTTTTCGCTTCTTATTATTTTGTGGCTTTTGCTTTTAGCCCAGTTTTTACGGTCGTGTGAGGTAATTTAGGACTTGGCGTGGATTTGCAGCGGGAATGCTTATTCAATGTTTTGGTTACGATTCAATGTACCACATTGCAGCGATTTAAATTGAAAATGTTGTTTAAATAAATTGAGCAGAGAATTAAAAATGTAACACTCCAACAGATTCATTAAAATTGATGTGCATATTTTATGGCATTTAAATATAGCCAAATATGGAGGCTTTGCAAAAACTACTTTCAAATTCGTTTGATACGTAAGTTAACTCAAAGAACTTTTAGTCGGTAAGTTTTTGATTTTTAAATTGACATACATTGAAATATGCAGATTAAATATGTGATGATTTTCCATAATGAAAACATTTTGCAACCGGTTTCGTCAGCAAAGCCTAAAAACTGGATGTGTGTTTACGACCAAAGGTATAATTAGCATTTTTCCTTCTCAGTTTTATCAATTTAAGTGCTCTTAAATTCTTATTAAATCAAAAATTAATAAAGTTTAAACTTGGTAGCGAATACATTTAATGCTGTTGTATACATTTTGTATCAAAACGATAGGCTAAGTGATATATTTATTACAACATTACTATGTATTAAAGAAGGAAATAAAAAAATCTATTTCTATTAATTATCTCTGCAAATTTGACCATTAACCGTGTGTCATTTTTTTTACAATCTAAATTTTGGTGAACAAAATATTATCATTTATGGTTTTTTTGGTTTGACTTTTTAAGCGGGTAATTTTCCCCAAAAGTATTTCATTTGTTTTGGTTTTTCTTATGCAATTATCATATGTGAATTTACTCTGAACGTGATTGTAACACATGAACTTCATTGTTTGTTAATTAGAGAGCGAAACAAATGAGTTTTGAATATGCTTCGTTTGACTTTCAAATTTTGTCATTAGTCGCGATGAGACAATCAAAACTTAATGACCTAAAGATATCACATCGAAATTAAAATCACATTCTTGGCACCGGTTTTTATTTCATTAACCAACAACCCCCGCACCATGACAAAAGCTTAAAACGGGACCGTCCAAAAAAATGGTTAGAAAGAGATCTGTAAATCAATTAAGTTATTATCGAAGGCGTTGAGCTTGTTTTAGCTGTGGGAAATTTGTATTCGTAGAGCATGTCTTCCGCCTGTGCAAAGGCACTTGACTTGCAGTTCGCTCCCTGGACAAGTTGATAACTATTCGGCATGGGATTGTGTAAATTTGCCAACGGCCATAAAACAATCAAATCCATTGGGTGAAAAGTGGATGAGAGACTACGAGAGCAAGAAACTTAACAAGAAATGCAAATCCAAGTGAAAATGGAAACAAAAAAGGAGGAGCCTGATGTACTCAAATTTTAAATACTCTTATTGAGAAAGATCGTATATAATCCTTAAACTAACGAATTATAAAACTTAAATTGTTTATGTTTTTTATGATATATTTTGAATGTTTTGGTTCTGAATCTTAAGTAATTTAAAACAAATTTATGTGTAACATTGATCTTATGTGATTGATCATTGATCAAGAAATTAAATTGTAAGATCTTACTTTTTTGCATGCCCACTTGTTGGCTTAACCAACATTTTAAGTAATAAAATACATTTCTTCGAAAGATATATACCCTCGGCTAGGTTAAAATAAAAAGTAACCGACGTAATTCAAACGAAAGCACTTCTGTGGGCTGGAACTGCAACCTGGACAGATTTCGATGGGGACTCTGAGGAAAATGTTGCAACCAGCTCTCTCGGACATCGCGTAATTGCGAAACTGCCCCGAGGACATTGGCGCTGCGGAGTTTCTTTGTGGCTGCTCAGCTCAAATGAGTTTTGCATATTGCAAATGCAAAATTTTTCCTTAATTAAATCCGATCAATTGCGGGCAATCAGGAAACGAGTGGTGGAAGCGTGGCCGCTGGAAAAGCCAGACAACATTGAACTTGAATTGCTGGCCACGGTGAGTTGTAGCTGCGTAAAAGTTGTGCAACTTGTAGTTGGCCAGCTTAAAACGCTTAAGACATGATTGCAACACATCTGTGGGGCCAGCGTTGCTTTTATTTTCATTTATTTTATTTGGCTTTTCAGTAGTTGTGTTGCAAATCCTGTTTTTGGTCAAGGCGCTCCAAAAAAAAAATTGGGTTAAATCGCATTTAGGGAATGAATAGTACGTGTCATGTCCGGCCAAAGCCAAACTGAGCTGCAGTTGTTTGATCACTCACTTGCCTTTTCAATACAAAATTGTGTATCCGTTTTTGATATGATTGTTACTTTAATTGAATACAATACATTTGATTTAAATAGAATTAGCCAGCTGGTTGCTCAACGCATTCTCCGATCGCAAAATAGGAATAGGCTAAATCAGAATAAAATTTTAGTCAGTGAATGTTACTCCTTGCTGTGTCAGAAGTTTCACTTACGCCTTTCGTTGGTGCAAATATAGTTGCGCATTTCGCACTCATTGCTAAAGGTAATATACTCCTCCTGGAAGATCTGCGCACACACCGGATTGTAGACATTCGGGCAGATTTTTGTGCAACTTGGCTTGCAGATTTCACTGGTGGTTTCAATCAGCTCCGATTTTCCACTATTTTTACGGGAACACTGCTCTACTTTCAGAAGGCACTTGTTGTGGAACACGTGGCATCGTTCTTCGGCCATGGCCCAAACCAACTCTTTTTCATCCGAGCATTTGTACTGCACATTGCACCGGAAGAGGTCACCCCCTTGGGCTTGGGTGCATCCAAGGAAAATGAGCACGAAGGCCAAAGTCAAGGCCAAAGTCAGTTTGCCGCTTCCGTGCATCTCGTTCGCTGATTAAAGTGTAAAAACTGAACTTCTCTACACCACTGCTGTGAATATTTATACGATACACCCCATCTGTTTGCCATTTTAACCTGCCTTTGATTTGTGTAGCGCCTTTTGACCACTCCGAAATTATTTTAATGTCTGTTATTCATAGAGATCACTATCAAAATATAATACAAATAATAATAATCACTCTGATAACATTTACAGAAACATACAAAACGTGGGCTCTTAAACCCTAAACATGTTTAATTAGAAAAAAATTCAATTTTTTATAGCCCTCAAATTTTACCTTGATTTTAAATAATCTTTTTTTTTATTTTCAAAATATTAAAAAAAATATTATAAAATAGGCTTTAGTTTCTAAAATGTAGTTACCAAGAAAAGAAAGTTCAGACTTGTTTTAAAATCTTGATAGGCATTCAGGGTGTTAAAGAAGTTTTTGTAGCTATTTCATTTGTTTAACCCCTTTTAATTGCAAACAAAATGAATTGCTGGTTAAAACCAGCTTATTGTGTAGCGTAGCGCGGATCTGATATTTTTTTTGTAGCCTGCAATTAAGATCTAAGATAATCAAAAGCTCTCTGATTATTCTTGGAAATGTTCACAAATATGAGCTTTAACTGATTTTATTATGAATATTTAAAAATTGTTGAAAATAGGGATGGAAATAGTTGTAATCGAATACGTGAATGAACTTGGCACTTTGGTTAACATTTAAATGGCTTTCGTTTTTTTATATTGCATCTTTTAAGACTTTACATATGTTAGTTTAATTTTTGTTGCCAAATCGCACAAGACATAAACTTTATTCAGATCTGAAAAATGGCTCAAATAGGTCAGGCTCGGCACGGACCACGGACTGCTTTCTATCCATTTGAGAGCATGTTATTATGTCAATTATCCAATTGCTAATAAAGTCCACGTACGATGCTGACCCGCAGCTGTGGATCGGCGATCAGTGAAATGTAAACGGCGAAATGAGAAGCGAAACGAGAAATTCACGTTGAAATCATTTCAGAGTCATTGACACAGACAGTGTCCGCAAACTGGTGGCTTTTCTTTTTATTGTTTTTTCGGCAAACATTTTACTTTTTCTTTTAACGCCCCAAACTCCCCCTCTTTTTTTTCCTCCATGTGGAAGTGAATAATCTTGTTTTCCCGTGCATATATATATATATATATATCCGCAGCTGGTTGGTTGTCTGCCCGAAAGCAAATTTATGGACCTTCAAATTGTGGGTCTGCAACTATTAAGCACCGCAGAAAGTTGACAAAACTTGCAAATTATGTAAAATGCAAACTGTTGGCGGCAATTAGTGAACTTGGGCCAAATTTCGTTTTTTGGGTGTTTAATGAATGACTGTGATGGGCTGTAATTGGTTTTTGGCCATTAGGTGATCCAAGTTGCTCGTTTTTAGGAAGTTATTAACATAATTGCTCCGGGAAGTGTGTGTTTTCTTTTGGGGCTGGTAAATTTGTTTCACATCGTCTGCCGAGTTATGCAGTTCGAAATATTGTGGACGAACTTTGCCCGCTCCAGGTGATTTTTACATGGATACAGTATTCCAAATTCCGAAACATCTGCCCAATCTCCCACGAAGTCGCTGCCAGACAAATGCACACATTCCTTGCTACCCTGATGGGAAATTGCATTTTCCACTGCAAATGCCGCGCACTCGATGTGGAGCACGTTTACCTCAACTTTGCCCCCATGGTTTCGACTATGGAAAATTCATTCATCCAGAAATCGCGTATTCCGTAGTCCGTCCTCCATCCTCCATTTCCCATTCCCTGGTCGTCGGCGTCCAGTTTAGATATCCACTTGACGCTGTAATGCACCGTCACCGAATGCCGTCAATGTTGATGGCGATAATAATTTGTATGCCATTCCATCAATACAAGGCTTTCTATAGATTACTTTGTCTTTTGAACAGTGGAACTGCTATTGTTATGGCGTCATTAATTGATTTAAAGCCATAACATAAAAGGATTGTGTTTAAACCTGATAACTATTATCAGACGCATTTTTATAAAAAACTAACAAAATGATTTTCATTGATTTACTAAATTTGATTAGTAAAATTACATTATTGACAAGCTTCTTGGAATTAGATTATAATTGGATTATAATAGCTGTTCAATGTAAAAATGTTATATCGAATTAAAATCACATTAAGTAGAAAAAGTCTTTTTTTCTTACGTCTCCATTTAATTATATTTAAATAATTCCCAATAAAATGGTGGAGTATATATTAAATCATTATAATCAAATTTACAATCAACTCTGCAATATCATAAAGATATGTGTAAACTCCGGGATCCACTGTGCGGATAATCCGCACAGAGCCCGGCGGACGTGGATGTATCCGCGATGAATCCATCGCTTCGCGTACTTTCGCTACGATACACAAATATACATAAAACGCAACTTTCCGCACGTATTTGGGATTCCAGACAGTATCGCATCCAGGTATTTAATCTTCATTTTCATAGTGTCAACGGCAATTGATGGTCAAAGCACCGCAGCCGCAATGACTGACATTTCGTAAAGCAATGCATTTTGGCACATTGCGTTTTGAGGGGGAGTTTGGAATCTCCGTCGATTGCATAATCTGTAATATTTTGGCAGGCTAACATAAAACGACAATTTTTTTAGTGCGACTCGAACGACCTTGCTCCCGTTCAGTCACCCAATGAACAAAAAAACGAAATGGAACCGACAAACTGGTTTCCATCGATTCTAACTAAGTTGGCTTAGTGGTAAAACCGGGTAACTTAAAGATCTGTACTTACCAAATGCCAATGACAGAAGCCAGTCGCTCAATCTTCCCTTGGGGATCTGCATTATTTTCCTTTGATTCTCTCACACTTTCAATTATTTAATTACACTCTCGTATTCCAGTTTATTTTATCGTTTAGTGAAGCATATTTGTTAAACAACTGAAAGTATTTCACAGACAGCAAACAACAGTTAATTAAGTGGTGTGATTTTATCAACAACAAAAAAAGAGATTTGCATAGGAAATATTTGGAACATAGTGTTCTAAGTAAGCAAGGGGCGTTGTCTTCTTATCTTATGGCTGCATAAATTGGTTCGGACTAAAACGTTGACAAAGAAAGAATGCTTTTTGTTTTGAAAACATTTTGTTTATTGTTATTGTAGGGAACCTTAAAGTGATTGGGGAAACCTGTCTACGAAAGTGCTTTAGGAAAGGTTTTCTTTTATTTTTCAGTGAAATCTTGGGGACTCCAGTTAAGCCCCAATTAACATAGATTTCTTTGTTTAGTGTGCAATATTTTTAACTGCCTATGCAGATCTCATTTATTTTTGTTTTATAACAGACCAGATGCTAAAGCTCTTTTAAAGAATTTGGGGCATAGATCTAGATACATTTAAGAGTGTCATTCGTTTTGTCTGGGTTCACAATAATGCTTGTTCTACTTCACTTTTCATAAATTTCACAATTTATTATTTGTCATTTTACACCATATGCAAATTTTGTATAAGAATTAAGATATCTGGTTTTTTGGCCAACTTTCACATATCGAAATATTTGTCAAACACCCAACGGGTTTATAATGGTAACTAATATTGACAGTTCATAATTTAAACGATTTGTCTCTGTGCTTTTTTTTCGGGGCAAAAAAAAAAACGATAATATGTTTTTATGATTTGTAACAAACGAACCGAAAAACGGTTATAGGCAAAGCGATGCGAAGACGGCGAAGCGCGCGAATTTTAGTTTTATACACGACGCATGCGCAACGTTCCAATTGAAACTGAATGTGGTTTGGCGTCTGCGCGTTGGTTTATTTGATCGCTGGCGCCGCACTGCTTGCATCGACTGTCTGCACTGCTTGCTGTCTGGTTGCTCTTTTATTCAATGCATATTTCTCTCTTTTTTAAAGACAATTTTACTCTTTTTCCCAGCGGTTTTTGCGACCATAAGTCGCGTGCTTGTGACTCACAATAGTGGAGGGAACTTTCAAGGGGGTTTTGGTTGATTATATTGCCTTAGGTCAGGTCTCAACTCTGCTTTGTTTATACTATTTTTTTTCGTCTTGCCTTTAACTACCGTTTTCTTCGCCGTCTTGCGGCTTGTAATGAAGCCATTAACGGCCAATTACCAGGGTGACCATCTTATTATGTTTAAATTGATTTTCGCCTCTGGGCTTGTACTGGTTCTATTTGGTTTCCCCATCTGCGATTCCTTTCACCGGTCCCCGTCCTTTCACCTTTGCACTTTCGATTGCTTGAAAATTAACCACAAAATATGAACAGCTCATCCCGCACAATTATTGCCAAAATTTTCAATTCAATTTCGGCAAGCCAAGCAAAAATTACTCTTACGCAAAAATATATCAATTGGTTTAGCTTTAGATAAAAATATTGCTATATATAATGGGTTAAGTGTTTTATAATATTTCATACATTAAATAGTCAATAATGAACAACTTAGCTTAAATTGCTTAAAACTCAAAAATAAAATATTGAGTATCTAAGGTATCAATTATTAGGTTTAACAATTAACATTTCTTTAACATTAAATTTCATTTAATGTGCAATTTAATATTAATTTCTTAAATCCCGAAAACAAAATATAGAGTATCTAAAGTGTACAATCCAAATTCCAACCTTTTCCCTCTTCCATATTTCTTCGAAAATTATGACGATGCTGTATTTTTTATTTATTGGAGAACCACTCCCATTGTTCGGCTACTGTAAAAATTAATTAAAAAGTAAAGTTATAAATTAACTGGTGAGATTTCATACTACAGCGTCACACGCATTGGACTGGCCCATTGACTTAGCTACGGCAAAACACCCACATCCATGCCTTCGAAGATTTGCTCTGCTTTCAGTTTTATTAATGTTTGTCGCTTGCTCCCCAACATTTACATAATTCGCCAGTTTTTCAAGATCAGTAAATGCAGGCGAAACGGTTTCAACTTTAATTGTTGAATAAATTGAAAAGAGGGAGAAATTATAATTTGCCTGTTCACCC